TTCCTAAAACTTAATGATTTAATAAGTTAATTTCTCTAGACTAAATTATTTTACTAATTATTCATGTTCTATGCTTGCTGGTCTACTAAAAGGATGTAAACATTTACATACGTTCATTTTAATAGTCATAGTTCATTTGAATATGTCTAAAAACTCATTTACATTATTTAACTTTACTGTTAATCTCAAGGTTCTCTCTGAAGTTATTACTGTTGTAGTTCCTAGAGTACTATGAAATTTCAGCTGCAGAATATAATTTAATTTGAAAGTGAATCAATACCAGAAGCAAATTATTTGACCATCATATTATGAAAGATTAAACAGCCACAAATTTTATCAGAACTAAAATGCATTAAATTATATTTTACTGACATAAGAGCAAAAGAACCTCATAAATATATTGCAGTATTTTACCAGAGGATATAAGAAAAGCCAAACCAAAAAAATATTCCCTCTGGAAAACAAAAACTATTTTAAGTAATTTTAAAATTCTCCTGATATTTGATCCATTACACACAAAAAAAAGTTGTTCATATAAACAGAATCATTAAAGGCTTCTGGAAAAAACACCCAAAAGATTACAAATAAAGTTTTTTTTCCCCTAAAATGCAATGTTACTTTACAGCCCTAAGTGACTAACAAATATACACTATACCTCCGCTATTTTTAAATTGCATAATTCTCAAATTATTCTTAATATTCTAAACTAAAACCTGACCATCAAAATATAAAATGTGTTTAAAAGTACCTTCTGCCAATACACAATATTATACATTTTTAAGCATGAAATCTAACTTAAAACAATTCCCATATTGTAATTAGCCTAAACCGGTAATTTATAAAAACAGAACTGGCTTCACAGAGATTAATTATAATTTAAAGTCACTAGAATTTTATAAAACACATGACAGGTTGGTCAAATGAACATTGTATAATCTTACAGGACTAGGGATTTTATGAATATGCTCCAAATTACATAACACTCATGAATAGGGAGATGATTTAAATCTTTTGAAAAATATAAAATATTACAGTATATAGTAAGTGACTAAGGACAAGTTTTAAATACAATCATTACTGAGTAAAACTTCGATGAAAAATCTAATTAGACAACAACAGAGTCAGTATCTCCAGATGCTGATTTCTCAAATGTCACCAGACTACCCATTCCGCTAAAAAGTACTTTTTAAATACATGCAGAACACAGTACCAAGTTTTCAAATCCCGACCTTTTCTTCATAGCTACACTCCTTTGCAGTTGAATAAAGCACTGAAATACATACAAATTAATTAGAACTACTTTCTCTTAGACTCCATTCTAAATTATTTTAAAAAATATTTCAGTAAATCTAAGAAAAATGTTACTAAATAAATACACACTTCCTTTTCTAACATTCAGAACGCTTAAGTATTTATAAATATGGTCTGCCCCCACCAAGGGAACTACTTCAGCTTTATGAATGGTTTCATTTTTTGGCGTCCCCTAATTTTTTAAAAGTAATTATTTTAAACATCAAATAGCTGCTATCCAAATATACAGTGATACTCAAGGAAAGCCACTTTATTTCTAATAAAATCTAGAGATTATATTATAAAACTATAACATCTTTCAAATAATTTTCTAAAAGACAGCAGAGATAACATCCATTTTTACAATATGAAAACAAGGAGTTAATAAAATGTAATTTCTCCCCAACTAAGAATTACGTTCCATTTTGTCAATATTACAAAACATTCATCTACTGACAAAGGAAAAATGAACACTTCACTTGCCTGTTAAGAAACTAAAACGAGAGCATTACTAGTCATAGTTATACGTTTAATAGTTATTTCTAGAGGAGAATATTTAAAGCAAAGTAATTGCCTAAATTTTGGGGAGACAGCCTGAAAATGATAGCCCCTATAATGTCACTTGCCTTTTTCCCTACCACCCACCTTGCACCAAACACCCATTGTTCTATGTTAAAATTCACAGCTAATGATATCTAAATAGCAACTGCTACGTTTATATTGCAGATGACCACTATGAGGACCACATTTACTTGCTGCCTTTCTTCCATCAAATAAAATCCAAATTTGATAATAAATCGATCCACAAACTGGTGGGGGGAAAGGATAACAGCTTCCCTTCCCTTCCAAACAGACGGATGTCACTCCAGAGTCAGGTGAGGAAATTCCTCAAAGGTTACCCTAATAAATCGACCACAGGGGAAAAAAAATCATGTATAGCGTTTAGTAACGAATGTTTAAAAGTCCTATACCAGAACACTCGAAAAGTATACAGCCCGTGGGGTAGAGAGTCCTCTTCTTTCTTGCCCAGCACTGTGGAACACAGACCCAGCACGCAGGATTTCTCAGGGGTTTGGATCCCACTTCCTCTCCAAACCTGGCTGGCAGGGACAGGTGCGGGCGTCGAGGAAGTGGGAGCCCGGCACCTCGGCGGCCCTCTCCCTCCAGTTACCTACCTCGGCCTGCGGGAGGGCCGATCAAGGCTGACACTCGCAGTCACAAACACTCACCCATCTTTCCTCTTGGCTTTGTAGACGTGACCATAAGTGCCTCGGCCAACTTTGCAGCCCTCGTATTCAAACAGGTCCTCGACCCGCTCCCGCTCGCTGCTTAGCTTCACTTTAAAGTCATAGTCCATTGTCACAGCCCCCGACGCCGGGGAGCTAGGTTGGGGGGCCGGGGGG